TTTTCTCCTGGGTTTATCTCATAATACTAGTCATGCTGCTAAAACACTGACATTTTATCAATAGTAATAAGTATAGTAATAAATGAATAACTTTAGTAATTACTTGTTCATCCATAGGTAATATCTGTTTTTAAATACAGATTTTGTTATGTTCACTAACAGTTTTTATTCATACTTAGTCAAATTGCCAGTATAAGTGATAAAGCACCACAAAAAGATAATCTTACAATTTTTCCAATTTAAAAATTGTTTTAAACATTTTACAAACTACCCTGTTGATCACAGCCAACTTCAAACAATTACAATGGAACAGCAATGCATTATCTTTGATGAATAATACATTTATGATCAGGATTGTAGAAACAGATTTTGATACTATCTTCATGCACCCCAAAAAGGAAATAGTTCTAAACCCCATTCAAACGTCCAGCACATACTATAAATAACTAAATAAATAAATAAATTTTATGTATTTATTTAATAAATAAATACATACACATTTTTATGAGATGATAATGAATTATAAAACATACCTTGTTTTGTCAGAGATCCATTCCTCATTGATATCTTCATGTAATCTTGGCAAAATTCTCATCACTTCTCCAGTTCGGGTGCTTACCACAATATTACTTCCTACTGCATCAAGAACATCAATAGATTCTGTCTTCCTAAAAGAAAGCACACAAACTAGTTGAGTAATTATCAATTTTTAATAATAGATCTTAAATCATATGCTACTATGTCTGCAACAACCGTGGTCACGAATCAGCAATATTGCCCATGGCTGCCCTTGTTTTTCCCTAGAAACTAACAGCCAGAAATGGGAACCGTTCAAGACATAGCTTTGCACAAGGCTGCCCTTTGTTTCATTCCTGCCTCAGTTCCCCTTTCGTTCTTCTCCCTCTTTCGTCTGGGCTGTATCCTAAGGAAATGGATACATCCTAAGGAAATAGTAAGTGTTGAGTGTTTTGCTTCCAAGAGGGCTCATGTAATATAACAGTAGTATTATTGGTTCACCCACAAAACCGCGCTCGACTAAACCACGTCGCTGACGCCATCAACATGGCGACAACAGCGCGGAGACAGAAGCACGCTGTAAACCCTAAACCTAAAATTAACCCCTAAACCTAACCCCC